GATTTTTAAACTTGCATGTGCACAGAAAAATAACAACGAGGTGATTCCTGGAGAACTGAACATTCGAAACAATTGAAGCAAGTTTCAGAAAGAAATCAAATTTAGGCTTTTTTTTAATTTTTGTATCGCGTCTCATGGGAACGCTAATGAAGAAAGATATATTTAACTTCTAGAATGAAGAGTCGGTAATTACTGCAAGGTTTAGTTTTTGAATTCATAAAAAAAATAAGTTAGATTGAGTTAAAAGAAACTGGTAGATTTTTGTTGGAACAGAGTTTGTTTACTAGTACAAATGTCACCATTATGCAAATGAGTAAAAGTAAGGTGAGTAAAATTCCAAGCACCTTGATTTCCGTTTCTAAGCGAGGCAAAGCGGGTGACGTAAACTTCCCTGTTCCACCAACTTTTTTCATGTCGATGACGGCCCATACATCTGTGATGGGTATAAACATATGTAAAGAAAGCATAAATAGCTCATCTCAAGGAGAGGTCGTATTGATATTCCATGGGAAGGCGGGGGGATCGTGGGATTTTGAAATCGACACAACAGGCGCTTAACCCTGGTTGGGAGACGGCTTGCATGTCAGAGCTAATGTCTCTAGGAAACTGTTCCAACAGTGAATCGATTCAAGAAATTATGTAAAGCCTCAGGGCTGGAAGTAGTTACTGGTAGGCCTTCTTAGCTAACCCAGTATGGCGGAAGACGTCAATTTTCTAAAGCCGGTGAGGGCAGTGGAGGAGGGTTTGCTTTTACTCCATGGGGGGGGGGGAGATTTCAGAAATATTTTCTGAAAGAATTCCATCAACAGCGGCACCCTTTGCGACAATGTTTGCTGATGGCCACTATGAGTCAAAGAACCTGTGATCCCCCCCCCCCGAGCCCCATATATTCTTGCCGCCCTTACAGGGCTATATGCTTTTCAAAAGATAAAGGGTTTTGAGACTGGAGCGGGAATCTGTAGTATGATGACGGGTTTTTACAGCTCTCAGGACCTGGACATCATTGACCATTATGGGGGATTGTGTTGTAGACACCCTCCAAAAGAGGGATTCAATCATTTCACAATTTTCTCGAATGAATGGTTGAGTCTGGTACATCTCGCTGCCGATGTGAGAATTTTGAGTGGTTCTCGAAGAGTGCTGTTAGTTATAGGGATTCACGCTCAAACAGTATTAGGAATGACTCGTTTTGGCTTTCAGTTGATCAATTATTTTTATTAATGACTAATAAAAATGATTATATACAATATTCAGTGGTGTAGTGTGTGCTCCTTCCTTGCCACGTCGAAGTCGTGCTCCCTACTACACAATCGACACATCTCGTAGCAATACCAACAAAGCTGTGGTCTCTTTGTGTTCGGCTTTTAGTAGGAATTCTTGAGGTGAGCACCTTTTAAAAGATTACCACTATTTTACAGTCGTTAGCTGAGCACATAGCAACTGTTATCGATCGGCTGTGCTACTCAACAGCGAGTATATTCGCGATGGGAGCAGGGTCAATCATCCGTTAGGTATTCCCGAGGGGGAGTCTTACCTAGAAGCGGCTGGTTAGTCCGGCCATTTAAAATGAGATGTACCAATATACGAACCCGGAGGCGCTGCATTCGAACCTGCTTTCGTCATTTGCGGAACTAATCCCTGGAAGAAGGTTGAAGCATGAAAGCACAGCGGTAATGAGTCTCGACTCAGGCAAAGGGCCGTGAAGTTCGACTCCAGTGCAAGTCTGTGCCTCAGCTCTTTTGAGAAATATGTTAAAGTCTTACTAGTTACATTTATGAAAAGAGCAAAAGTACGTGTTTGCACTGGCGTCGATCCCACGATCTCTCGCCAGTGGGTAGGTGCAGTACCGCTGCGCTTTCTTGCTTCATAACTTTAAGAAATCGTTTTGCAGATAACGTAAGATTTTAAATCAGCGTCTCGAGCGTCTCTATGCAATTTTCGCGGTTTCAGTGTGGAAATGGCACTTATTTTTTATAGGAAAATTTTCGCGGAAAAGTTTTCAAAGATTTTTCAATGCATATACCCTCCCCCATGTCGATAGATGTTTTAGAAAATGCGACTACTGGGGCTACCGTCACAGTGGTTGACCACGGAAATCTTTATTTTGAATACTGGAAAATCTGAACCTGTGTATCCTCGAAGATTTTTCCACTTATAAAAATAATTCAAGTATCCGAATGGCCGCGACGATGACCAGCCATGCGATATCTATTGGTATAGTGTAGTTCCAACGGACATGAGGAGCATTGTGAAGTCACCTCGTTGTCGAGTAAACAAATTCCCAGGTACGTTAATGCTGAATGCAGGCTGACCCTGAAAATAGCCCTTGATACCACCTGGCACTTGAGCCAGCTTAGTCAAAGCGCTGGTGACGCTTTAATGACTGCTACCGCTATTATTAGACAAATGACGTAACTGGACAAAATTGCAGGAATGACGGACCTTTCGAAGAAAGTCTCACTTACACATGCAATCGACTCAATGCGAAAAATTTTCCCAGATGATTATAAATTCTATCCGCCATCGTACTTTCTTCCGGCACATTTCGATCAATTCAAAGTGAGTTTTTGATTTTTTTTAGCTGTAGTGATCAAAAATTTGAATACACAACGTGCTCGGCGATTTTTACATAGTGTTCTCGAAAAATCTCCCGTATTTATTAAAAATGGTCCTTTTCATGTTTTTTTTTGTGGATCTAAATAAGCAGACTCAGGATCAATGAGGTGGGTCAAGCATGCCGTGGAAGGAAATATCCTACAAATGACGTACCTGGCCCCCCCACCCCCCCCCACCCTACA